AAAGCCGCTAGCAGATGCTAGTTCTATAAATCCTCTTGTAAATATAATTAAGTGTAGGCTTAATTACAAATGAAATTGCTTTTTATGCTCGTGTGATTAAAGTTGTTATTTAAACGAATAGAAGTTAAAAGCCGTGAAACATTTTGCACAACTGATTTCGTTTTAGATGACGTGTGTCATTTGACTATATCGTTAATTGAGATATATGCGACCAATAGTTGAGTTGCGTTCGATTCTCGGAAACCAGTTTATCGTTCAGTATTTTCATTAAGTTTGGGCCACGATTAGAACCGGTATAATATAATCAATTAGGCAGAGGTGTAGTTTATACTACCTTTAAAGTTATAAATGCTTTACTTAAAATTTCCGAGTAACCACCTAATGACAATTTGGCCGGTCTGGGAATGAAACCATGGAAATATCATCGAATGAATTCTCCCGCCTGGGTGAGGCGGGAAGGAGTGTCAGACTCTTATTGACTAAAAACCAACCCGTTTCTACTCCTGCACTTCGAGTCGGAGCCCCGGTAACCCGTTAAGTACTCCGCGGCTCCGTATCGGCACTAACCCATTATTGATCTCCATTCGTGGTGGTCTGATGGCTCTTGAAGGCGCGCACGGTATGCGATGCGCCGTATGCTTGGGTCTGGTTCTGGTCGCGGCGAGCTACCCATGCTCGTCGTTCGCAGGCCCGTGATGTAACCTTAGTTAGCAATCGCACTTCCAACCATTCGATCAACAAGGCAGTCGTTGCACAATACCTTAGAGGTTCTATGTAACATCATTCATTTCTTTTTATTTTTAAAACGAAGACGCATATGAGTCACCTTCGCCATTCTATACAGACGTGACCGATACATTGATAACAACTGTTTAATCTTCCAGTTGCTCTCAGATCAATGATAACATTATCTGGATATATCATCCTAAACATCTATCAGGCTTGTTACTATGACTTTAACGCCTTGAACTTAAATATACAAATGTGGAAATGTCAAAGGCCTATTTCACAATGTCTGAAATGCCATTATGTACCAGATAAATTGGTATATAGAACGTAATTTGTATAAATTGTCAGTCACATATTAAGTTTGTCGGCTACATATGGAGGTGATTGATGAACATTCACTAAAATCGCGGGTTACTCACGTTAATGTACTGAAAAGGTCTACTAGTTTCGAACCACAGAGGGGTTCTTCCTTATGAGCAGAGTGCGCGGCAGCAAAAACCGGCGAGGAAGAACCCCTCTGTCATTCGAAACTACTAGAGCTTTTCTCAGTATGTTCGCGTGAGTAACCTGCGATTTCAGTTAATTTACGATGTCTCGTGATGAACGTTGCTTGTGACTATCTCGTTTGGCGTACAACAGCTAGTGCCCTGTGCCTTTTCGGATTTCATATAGGTATACCTACAGATAAATAACATTGGAGTGTCTGTTTGTGATATTAAAATAACCGATTTTTATAATATATACATAGGAATAAATACGAATATACATAGGGCACACATATCAAAATATTATTTTTTTAAATTTTTGTCTGTCTGTACTGGCTGATCTCTGTAATGGTTGGATCGATTCAACAAGACTTTTATTGGCAGGTAGCTGATCTACTAAGGAGTAACATAGACTGCTTTTATTTTGGAAAACTTCTTCTTTTTCTAACAAAAAAAAATTATGTTCGACTGCCTCGTTGGTCGAGTGGTCGCAATCGCGACTGCCGGGTAAGGGGTCTCTGGTTCGATTCCCGGGTCGGGCAAAGTATTACTGGGTTTTAAAAAAAATCTCAGTAGTAGCACGGAGCCTGGAAATGTGCCCGGTATGGCAATAGGCTCACCCCCTATTACATGGGACTCATAACATAAATAGTGAAAAGTGGGTGTTACATTGTACAGTGGTATAATGTGCACCTCTGCCTACCCCTTCGAGGATAAAAGGCGTGATGTTATGTAAAAAATTATGTTCTAAAATTCATATACTACTCGGATGAAGTCGCGGGCAACAGCTAGTACCTATTCCAATAAAACCATTCATAACGCACAATCTAGTAAAAGAATCATTGAAAATTATTATTATTTCGATACATGTACCTATTGTACCTAATCTATTGAATTTTATTAGTTAGAAAATCTATTGTTTTAGGTAACATAATTATATCTATGTATGACACAATAAACGATGCATGATAAATTAATAACACATTATTATCAATTCATCTGATACAGAATGTTGCACCTTTATGTTGTGGCATTATTACTGATTTTTCTTGATTGAAAGCGTTTTAGATGTGCATTTTATCGTAAACACCACTCTTATGTACATATATTTATGATAAACAGTTATATGTTATACCTACATGTGTAAACAATAAAAAAACCATAACTAATTGAAATAGTCGAATGCAAATGTGGTGACTTAGAATCATGTAATTCTATTTTCAGGTTGGACAAAGTTACATGCTATTAAAAAATATATATATTTAAAATTACGGAGGCAAAAGTCGTAGCTACTAAGCTACTATTACTCATTACTTATTCTGATCTACTACTAAATGATAATAATTTACGAAGTATATTAAAAAGTTATGACAATACTTAGGTACATTTATAACACTTAATAAGAAAAATTGACCACTCACTTCGAATTCAAATCGACATCAGCAACTTCTTCCATAGCATGGGGTGGGATAAAAAAGGAGATATCATAATATTATCGTCCTAAAAATCTTTGGCTTTAGCAAAACAACAGGCGAACACGAGTAGCTACCTAAAAATAAAAGATCCTGGTTCCGTAGTAGATAAAAATACGGAATAAAGACAACATTCGCAAAGTTTAACACCATTCGAAACTTTGGTCTCCCTCGGGTTACTTGTTTGACAGTTTGTTTTAACTTAAAACCTTATAAATAGTGTCCCCCAGTGGAGGGAATTTTAGGATTCCATTATTTTTGTAGACTTTTTCATGATCGTAAGCGGTCTCCGTGGGGTAATGCTGCCCAGGTTGGAATAAACTGGAAAATCTTCAATACCTAAGTGTTTGTTGTTTAGGTGGAAAACTTGGTTATTACTTTACCTAGATTGTGAGGTTGAGTAATATCGAAACGACTTAGATAGGAAGAAAGAAAAGTGCACTCCGTCACAAAGTACAACAATACACAAACAAAATTTAACAGCGAAGACGTAAAGATTTCTTTCTTTTCTCTTTTTTAAAACACAGGACAAAATCGTAGTGTGGGGCACTAGGATTTTGTCCTGCGTCGTGGGTGCATTTACAAACATACAATTTCACGTACACATGACATCCTGACTCGTAAAAACAATCTGTGGATCACACAAAGTTGTTTTGTGATGGAATCGAAACCGCGACACGTTGCGCGGTGGCCGGTTGCCTAGTCTCCGCGTCGACCGTGCAGTCAAACTATCAACTTTAAACTGTCAAATACCAAGCGGTCACCGGAGACCGCAACCTATTGTTCTATAATTGTGTCTACAAAACCGGTACTCGACGAGTTAATTTCTTTAATTGATATCAATCATGCTAAACTTTAAGCTATACACAGACGCTGGTCATGAAATTATCGACTTTTGAATTTTCATTTCAATCATAATGTTGATGCGTTTGTGTCATTAGATTTACGTAATAGGTAATTTGGATCTCTCAGGATAAGTAATATTGTTGTGGGCGGAGAAAGATTGTTTACAAATTGGATCTTTCACGTAACTGATAAATAGGTAAACCAAATTAACTCGTCGAGTACCGGTTTTGTAGACACAATTATAGTACAATAGGTTGCGGTCACCGGTGACCGCTTGGTGTTTGACAGTTTAAATAAATATATGTTGGCCTAATATAATTATGTATATTATAAGGAGTCTATAAGGAGTCTTCTTGGGTTCGATTCTTAGGTCGGATAAAGTATTACAGGGTTTTTAAAAAAAATCTCAGTAGTAACACGGAGTCTGGAATTGTGCCCGGTATACAGCAATAGGCTCACTTTCTGTTACATAGGAATCATAAGATACATAGTGAAAAGTAGGTGTTACACTGTACAGTGATATTAAGTACCGTAATGTGCATCTCTGCCTATCCCTTCGGGGTAGAACCTAACGGGTAACCGGGGCTCCGACTCGACGTGCAGGAGAAGGAACGCGGTGATTTTTAGTCAGTAAGAGTCTGACACTCCCTCCCGCCTCACCCAGGTGGGAGCAGTCATTCGATGATTTTCCCCCCCTAAAAAAAAAAAAATCCCTCCGGGGTTGAAAAGGCGCGATGTTATGTTATGTAAATAAATAACAAATATTATTTCTACACTACATTAATGTATGCTTCTCAGTATTTTTAGATCCGCGCACAATATTTCACGTTAGTACATTTTAGCTATTTGCATCCTTACATACAAACTCCTTACAAGTAATCTCATTGCTGTTGCATACAATGCGCTAGAAAACGAGCATAAAGTTTTCTATTCACGTGAAATATACACATAGCTTCCAAACTTCTTATTAGCTGTTAATTAAAATATACTAAACATCCAGCTAAAACAAACTACGTAGCGATGTTAAAATATAAAAGAGGAAAATACGCAAACAAAAATAAGTAGGCTACCGGACTGGTATTGATTAATACTCGGTATTCATTTCACAATATTGAAATACCTCCCTAATCTATCAGAAAGCCTAAGGAAACAGTGTATTTTTCTAACACAAGGTATCGTATAAAATCGAAGTAGGAATAGTTATGCAGGAACGCCATTATAGCAGCCCGGGCTCGCGAAATCCCTGGGGAAATCAGAGGAGACAGTAATTATATGTTTTTATGTTTTTTGCTCCAGTATCTGATGGCACATCACTATTTGTACTCACCAGGTTTATGGCTACCATTAACGATCCAATACTTGTGACGTGGCAGTGTATTACACTTTTATTTTCACTTTTAGGTTGTTTTTGACTGAAAATAAACTTAAATATTAATGTTTTTGGAAATAATAAAGATCACATTTGTGTGTCAAAACTATATAATTGTCGATATTCATACACTGTCCACTATAATTATAATTAAATCATAAAAATAACACATGCATTTACACTTAGTTCAATTCGCGATCACAATCGACGATCAACATCAAAATCATTTAAAAAATATCACGTAAACAGTTCATTTCGGAAACTGATTGGGTTTCAACGTCGATCTACGTTCAGGATCAAATTTCAAATCATTTCGTGAATCAGGGACCTTGCCTTGTTCGATTCTGTCATTATATCTGAGGTGAATGGATCCCATCTTGTGTGATGCTGACGAGATTATGGATGCCACGACGTATGATGGATGCGGCAGATCCGGGATTTGAGAAATGTAATAATCCCGTAGTTTCTGTCGTCTGGCTTCTTTCTCGTCGACGGTGACGGAGGTTTCACTCAAGCTTGTTTCCACCGTTTCAAACGTGTGCGTCTCCTCGGCAGACGTGTCTTCAGAAATGTCAGTTACGTCTGAGATAGCACCTCTGTGCTGGTAATACGATAGTCGAAGTTGTGAGTAATCGTCGATGAAGCCGGATGAGCTTGAGTCAGAACGATTTGAACGATTTGGCGTAGATTGACGCATCTGGTTTTCCTTTGCACTCATTTTAGTTACTGATAAACTCGTTTTTACTTTAACTTCGACTAATCTACTTGAACTATATTTGCGAATAACATTTGGTACAATAATTGACGTAAATTGTACAATAATGAATATTTGAGGGTAAATAAATACTTGTCAGCGGTGCAGGAAATGAGATTTACCCACATAAATACATTATGACATTATTTATTAATGTTAAAATTCAATCCTCATGCCTCCCTCGTAATCCGATGCGAGCAGGAATATAAAATAATGTAGAATAAATAAGTCTCTGAAATTAAATTGTGATTATAGATATTAATGTGAAAATTGAAGTGGGTGAACGCGGAGTTTTTATGTCACTGCACTCTGCGAGGCAGTGGAGGAATGTATTAACAATTCTATAGATATTATCAAATGTATTAATGTAAAATCCATATGAATTGACTAATATGTTTCTAGGTTCTTAGGACAGCCATAATCTTCTAACGTTATAAATATTATAGAATATTATATAATTGCAGAAGGTGCGGGCTCGAAACATACCAGCGACAAGTACCAATGTGACTTTTTCAGAGTTTTATGTACATACATTCTAAGATTATTTAGACACCACTGACAAACTGTGAAGGAAATCATTGTGAGGCAATCTGGGCTTATAATTTCTAATTTTAAGTTTGAAATCGCCAACCCGTATTGAGCAACCGTTGCAATTAATGCTCACATTCTCCGTGCAAGAAGAGGCCTTAGGTCGGCAGTGGCCACTTATAGGCTGATGATACCAGGGACCGATATCGATAAATGAAAAATACCGATATTTTCAAGAAGATATCATTATTGCAACTGATATTTTATGTTAATATCGATATCCATATCGAATTTAATAAATACCGCTATTAAATTATCGATAATTATATCGTTATTCTATATCGATACCAGTCGCGAGAGGGAGACGATGATGCGACATTAGTTGCTCTCACTCGCACAGCCGCAACGCCGAGCGGCAACATTGTAAAGAATAGACCAAAGTACCAGACCCTGTGTAACAGTGGAAAGTAGCTTAGTGCAACGAGTTGCGTCTTGTTGTCGAATGCGCGCGTATCTACTTGTTGTTATTGCTGTTGTTTACGTAATCGTGATAAATAATGGGGCGTAAAAAGCAAAATCATGTATATAAATACTTTAATGTTAATAAGACCACATTAAAATATCCACATTATTATATATATATACATTATTTGTAATATATCCACATTAGAAAAACTCTATTTTTTAAAACATGATGAATGATGTTAGTATCTCCTCACTTAAAGCTTCAAATCGAATGTATCGAAGCAATGTAATAACTGGTGGATGCAATTTTCTCGTTTTTCTTGTGGCATCATGGTCAATTTTCTTCCAATGACAAATCCCAGCGTGTAGCACTTTCCAACTGTCTCCATATTTAAATTATTTAATTCCATATTATCCGTAACATTATCAGTGTTCGTCCCAACGGATATTTTATTTGATGTGTCAATATTAAAATTTGCCTATAATAAAAACCAATACTTAATTTACATTAGGTATAATTCAACGAACTTTTGGTGTGCGTACGCGCAGCGGAATGTTGTTGAATATAAAGATTTTAATTACCTATGCAGATATTTAGTGTATGACATCGTATAATTGTGTATGGTAAACAATAAATTGTGTATGCAGCCATTGTAATTGCTAATGGCCAAACGTTCGCGTGGCGGAAACTTGAATTTCTCCGAAGTTTATGCATGCACTAGTTTTATTCATACATACACAATTACACACAAATACACACTAATTTTTGGACACATCTCTTTTCTTCTTTTTTTTATTCTTGATAGGTTTGCGCTTGACCGCTAACTCACCTGATGGAAAGGGACGATGCGGTCGACGATGGAGCGCGCTTACCTAGAAGTAACCTATTCACTCTTGACTTAAAGATTCCAGGGTTGTAGCCATCAGGAAACGCAGATTCAGGCAGGGAATTCCACTCCTTTGCTGTACGCACAATGAATGTGTTTCTAAAACGTTTTGTACGTATGGGTGGGATGTCCACCATGTACCGATGGCGCATCGCCGTACGCCTGGTGGTCCGATGATGAAACGGGCTAGACGGAATTAGGTTATGCAATTCCGACGCACACTCTCCGAAGTGCAATTGGTAGAAAACCGACAGGCTAGCGACTTTGCGTCGATGCTCAAGACTTTGAAGCCTCGACTCGACGAGTACATCATTGCCAATGATTCTCTTGGCTCGCCTCTCAATTGTCTCGAGTGCATCAAGCTGGTATTGGGCAGATCTATCCCAAAGATGACAGCAGTACTCCATACACGATCGAACTTGTGCTTGATAAAGTTTGAGCAGCTATTCCGGCGCGAAGTACCGTCTGACCTTCGAGAGGATTCCCAGCTTTTTTGCAGCCAGTTGAGGCTTTGCTTCGATAAATGGCCCAAAATTTAGAGTCGAGGTCAACGTAACACCGAGAAGATCAAGATGGTCGGTTATCGGAAAGTTGGAGTAGGGCTGAATTGACTCCTTTTAGCGGAAAAAAGACACGCAGCATTAAATTTGACCAACTTGGCATCGCCCCATTCGGAGACTGCCTCCAAGGACAAGTTCAAGCGCCCAACCATAGCCTCTCGGAGAGACTGGATCTGCGACCCACTAGCTCGTGCGCTGGATGTGTAACTCTCGACAATTGTGCTGTCGTCTGCATACCCAAAGGTACCGGGCTTAAGCAGATCGTTTATGTGCAGCAAGAATAGTGTTGCCGAGAGCACTGACCCCTGAGGGACCCCGGCATTAATAGCCATTTTACCAGACGACCAGCCATCGATGACAACTCCTATGGTTCGGTCAACCGAAAGAAGGAAGCTTACTAATAAGGCTTTCGTGCCAGACCCTATCGAATGCCTTCGAGATGTCGAGGGAGACGGCAAGCGCTTCCCCGTGCTTCTCGATAGCCTCACTCCAGATGTGGATGGCATACGCTAGAAGATCCCCAGTGGACCGATTTCGGCGAAAACCATATTGTTGGTCACTTAGGATGTCATTAGCTTCATTAGGTATGCCAGGAGCTTATTGTTGAGTACACGTTCCATAGTCTTACAGAGGATACGACGACTAGTCTCCCGATACATCAGCACCAGCACGAGTCTGGCTGGTCAGCATGCATAAGAACCGCCACTTCGACCCAACTCCTCTGGATTGGCTACACTGGGCATCGTACCGGAACACGGCTGGGCCGCTTGGCGGCACGTCTTTGCCCAGTGGGTGGTCACAAGCCATCGGTCGAAACCTACCACCAGTTAGTGTCACCTGATTAGCACCACCCGGGGACCACGTGTAGGGCCTAACAATGGGTATCCTCCTACGGACGCGGGTGACTCAGCCCCCAAAAAAAGTTCTAAAGTCTATGGATTAAAAAAAGCTCCGCCAGGACAACATTCACCCAGCGGAATCAGTTTTTGTTGAATTTCTCCACAATGGCTGCGTACACAATTTCTTTTTTACCATACAGAATCATACGACGTCATACACTAAATATCTGCATAATTAAAATCTTTAAATTAAACATCATTCCGCTGCGCGTACGCACACGAACTTTTGTCCGAACGAGAAAAGCGCAGGCCACGTCGCTAACAAGCGAGCCATCGACAAGCCAGGCGAGCATCGTGGGGCTGCGGGTTGTTCGAAAGAGATACCGCAGCCCCGGAACACCAAGGGCTAAAGAAGGAATATTAATGGGTTTTAGTCAGTAAAAGTTTGACACTCCGTGACCGCGGGAGAAGTTATTTGATGATTTCCCATCCGAAAAAAAGTCAGGCATTGTTTCACCTCTTTTTATACTCCAGTTCACATCGCGAATCGCGATCCACAGAATTAGCTACTTATAGCAATACTAGCTTCTACCCGCGACTGCGTCTGCAAGGACTTCAGGAGGATTATGTTCTTTTCCCACGGGAACCACTTGAGGAACCGGAATAATAGATAGCCTATGTTTTTTTCCATGTCAAATGCTATATGCATGCCAAATTTCATCCAAATCCATTCAGCCGTTTTTGCGTGATTAAGTAACAAACATCCACACTTTCACATTTATAATATTAGTTAGGATAATCGATGCCAACAAAATATCCGACGATGCCCGCAATACTATTTGTTACATATAAAAAAATTCATAACATTGAGTCGTCATAATTGAGCCAACTCTGAAATAACGTAAAAAAAAATCAGCTGTTCCTTATAAAAGTTCAATGCCTACTCGACCATATTGTATGAAACAGCTTACCTACATTTTTTGCGATTTCAGAGTTCGTTCCATATTAAAAGCTGTTTTTTTATAGGTAGTGTCACTTCCTTGCTGGAATAAAACTATAAAATATGACGATGTGTATACCTACTTGTAGGTAATTCGTATACTTAGTACAATGATACGCATAGTATGGATAATTATGTGAGTTACAAACACTACCTAATGAATAAAATATTGCTTTAGACTTTTATGATCATAAAAATTTACCTCATCAGAATCGAATAAGTCTATAGACTCCGGTGAATTAAGTTCAGGAGTAGTACTATTAGGATCTATGTCATAATGACGGGCTCGAATAGGTGAACTTTTAATACAGTCTTCTTCCATACTCGAAACATCATCCCCAGATGACTCATCTACTACCACATTTTTTATGCCTGTAAGGTAAAATCCATATTATACAAATTGTTACCCTCGATCTTATTTTTGACATATTGTTTATTTTAAATTCGTTGAATTGGGATAAATCGGTCTCCGATCGCTTTGCACGATTATTTACAATTCCTATTCCCATACACATCAGTAGAACATCAAAATTAAGTTAATAAGAATATTAAATCTTTAGAAAATACAAACCAGACATCTTGGGCCGATTATTTCGTGGATAATTCTCTGCGTTTGCTATAAAGGAATTAGGCAGAGACAGAGTTATCTGTCGTGTTAACTTCACCGACTGTCGTGTCGTCTGTGTCGGGGACCGGGGTACGGGCGGAAGGTCCCACATCATATTATTGGTAATATATCGTTATTTTAGTATCAGTACCGATACCGATAAAGACACTCATAATTACATATATTAATGAACTGAAAATAAAATATCGGTACCAGTATCGATAAAGAGGTACCAAAATATCAGTTCCTATATCGATATTTCGATATCGATACAGGAATCATATCGGTATTACAGTCTCTGGATGATACAAAGATCGCTCTTACTTTCGACTCGTGTGTAAAATACGACAGCTGTGTAAGTAGCTCCCAGCACCTGTGCTTTGCATACAATATATGAACATTTATAAATGCAACAAGCATTTTAGATACCGGATGACCGGTCACAATAGTTACCTATACAAACAACAAGAATGCAGTTCAGTCAATCATCTGCCTTGATAACTTCAAATAAATCTTGGCTACTATCTTATCATTTAGTATAAAAAGATTCTGCTACAAGCAATATGCAGCACACAGATTTCTGGGAACAAGAAGAAAATGATGAACAAAGTACTAGTTCTTTTTGCCCTGGTGGCACTTGTGTCTTCAGCTCCTCAGCCAAGGAAGCTGTTCCACGAGCATGTCGAGGATTTCGTGGACGTCATCATGCAGGAGTCGAATGAGGAAATAGCGCAGCTGATGGAACTTTACTCCGAATTTGACGAATTCTGGAAGGCAATCGATTACATGAAGACGAATAACTTCAAAGAAATTATTTACGAAATGGAGTCTTTGCCTGAATTTATTGCTGTAAGTATTAATTTTTTATTATTTGGAGTAATTAGAGTTGAATTAGTTTGTTATGTCATTTTAATATTATCTGGTATGTTTCTGGTACTAGTGCGATTGTGTAGATAGATATGGATATTGTTGAATGAATAATCACGTGATGGAGTGAAACATCAATGATTTATAGAAATCGAATTGAGTTTTGATGATGTTGCCGAAAAAGAGAGTCCTATAAATATACTAAGTAACTACAGTGACTAAATTTGGATTCAAGGACGATGTTAATTGTTTTAGTACCTAAACTAAGGTTGCAAGCTTTTCGATTTTCTACCTTTCTTCTATAGTCCTTTCCATCATCATACGACAACACAATTGGCGAAGCGTCCTCGGTTCATGGTGGGTGTTGCAACCACATGCACGAAGCGCTTCGTTGTTAAGGAGTGGAAATCTTTGCCAGATTCTGTATAACCTGGATGCCTTCAAGGCCCAAGTGTAGGTTGCTTATGGGCAGACGTGCTCCATCGTAGGCCGTTATCGTTTATCATCAGGCGAAATAGTGGCCAAACGTCAGCCCATCAAATAATATAAAAAATAACATAACATAACATCACGCCTTTTATCCCCGAAGGGGTAGGCAGAGGTGCACACAGAAATAACACCCACTTTTCACTATTTATGTTATGAGTCCCATGTAATAGGGGGTGAGCCTATTGCCGAGCACATTTCCAGACTCCGTGCTACTACTGAGAATTTTTTTAAAAACCCAGTATTACTTTGCCCGACCCGGAATCGAACCCGAGACCCCTTGCCCGGTAGTCGCAGTCGCGACAACGAGCCAGGTATATAAAAAATAAATAGTTCTAAGTCCAGTTCGATTGTCATTCCGATCATTTACGTATTTTCATTAGATACATAGTTCTAGTTATAAATAGAAAAAATGCTTCTCACTTACTTATTTGTATAATTTAAACATTTAACATTTAAGGTGTAAATATTTTAGTTCATAATTATTTATATTTTAAGTTGTATATATTTTCATTTAGTAATAGTTAATATTAATTTTATTTAGTTTACTTAAATTAATTATAATTCAATTCTACTTTTAAAATTAAACTAATAAATTTAAACATCTATGAAATACTTTTCCTCTTTGTGAACAGGTGATTGACTTCTTGGAGAACGACAACATTGATGTGCATTACTTCATTGACATGCTGAACGAAATTATTGGTAAGTAATCAAAATATTCACATACATATACATTATGCTTTTTATCCCCGAAGGGGTAGGCAGAGGTGCACGTTTACGGCACTTAATGCCACTGTACAATGTAACACCCACTTTTCTTTTTGTTATGAGTCTCATGTAATAGGGGTTAGCCTATTGCCATATACCGAGCATAATTCTACTACTGAAATTTTACTATGATTGTACCGAGTCAATGATCAATGAACTTTCAGTACTATTGAAATGACTAGACTAAGAAAACCACATTGGCGATAAGTGAAATTACAATAGCTAGGTACACAATCAATCATTCTACCTAACAAAATAATTTTCATTGTCGATATCATCATCATCAGCCACGGTCAGGTAGGCCTTCCAATCACTGCAATAAAAGTAAAATTAATATGTTACTTTTACAGAAAATGTAGAACGGAACGCGCTAGCTCGTCAATCTGCCAGCGGCCGTGATCTCACAGCATTCACCAGGGATTGCATCGCTGTGTTCCCGAAAGAGAAACTAGCAGCTCTCTTCGACCAGAAAATGGCTGAAGATGATGAGTTCAAGACTGCCATCCAGAACCTGGAAAGCGAGGAATGGGCAGCTGTCTTCTCAGCACTATGGGAAAGTGAAGTTTTCCAAGCAGAAGTTGCTGCTCTCTCCGAAAATGGAATCGAAATCAGCGTCCTCTTTGAACAACTCCTCGCGATTTTTGGACAGAACTAGTCAAACCTTTGATGTTTTTTTGTTAAGGAAAGTTTGAATTGTATTAAAATTTAATAAATCTATTTTATGATCCATGGTGTTGTGTTTACTTTTTCATAACGAAAATGAATCATCATAACGTTTCAAAATAAGTGATACCTAATACCGCTTTGACAAAAATGGTGTCTTATTTTTATGAATGACGCAATGTGTTTTTACTACCTCAACTTAGTAAGAACTTTGATTAAACAAAGAGTAAGAATGTGTAAATTATTTGTGGAACTGAAAAGGTATTTCCCTTCAGTTGTTATATGAAAAAGCTTGTTTAATTAATATTTTTCAAAAGTGCAGCGTCTCAAGTCTGCTCCTGGCTGAAGCCATTTAATGACTAAAAAATGATTACTCTCATATAATTTCGTCTTTGCAATGAATTGGCCGCACAACCTAATATTATGATAGTTCATTTCTAAATCCGTAGTACTATGAGTTATTTAAAATTTCAAAATCTAAAGATTACACCTAAGAAACATCAAACAGCAGTAATGAACAATTCAAAAATAAGTTATTTCTTTAAACCTCCCGCAATATTATGTAGGTGTGGTTTTATAGCAAAAACTTGAACTAAACACAACGAAGCATCACCAAAATTAACAATAGGAACAGAAAGAATATCTAAAACACTTGAGATAAAGATAATCTCACATGACACACTAAAGATCTAAAGTTTATCTTATCACTAAGTATAAAACGCATTGGTACCGTTGAATCAGCATCACAGAATTCAGGAAGCGATACCAGAATGATGAAGCAAGCTCTAGTAGTCCTCGCCCTGGTGGCCCTCGCCTTCTCAGCGCCTCAAACCAGGAAGCTGTTCCATGAACATGTTGAAGACTTTTTGGACATCATCATGGACGAGGCTGGTCATGAGATTGAGCACCTGAATGAACACTACCTTGAGTACGATGAGTTCTGGACTGCCCTGGACTACATGAGGACCAACAACTTCAAAGATTTAGTCTACGAAATGGAATCGTTACCTGAATTTGTTGCTGTGAGTATTCTGGAGATTATTGTTATGAAATGAAATAGATATATTTTAATTTTTTTAATTAAGATATCAAGGAGAAAATTTAGTTTTTTAATCACTATTACTAATTCTAGAGGAATAATAAGACTGCTTCACAGCTAGTCCGAGAGTCAGTATAGCAAAGAATTTACCTTTATAAATCTCAACTGCGACAACTTGTCTTAATAATTTTCTAAGTGCTTTTACTAATTACCTGCGTTACTTATAAATATCATTTTTCTGTTTTTCTCTTCTTTAGGTGATCGAATTCTTGGAACAAGACAACATTGACATTCACTACTTCATTGACTTGTTCAACGAGATGATCGGTGAGTTTGAAAAAATTAAACATCTAGTAGCACCTATATAAATTATATATATCAATATATAAAATATTGATTATTTTACAGAGAGCATTCAAAGGGCAAGGTCGGCTCGTCACTCCACCAGCGGCCGTGACTTCACCTCCTTCATGAGAGACTGCATCGACGCCTTCCCCAAGGATAAACTATCAGCTCTTTTCGAACAGAAGATGGCTGAGGATGAGGAGTTCAGCACTGCCATCTCCAACCTGAAGAGTGAACAGTGGGATGCTGTCTTCTCCGCTCTCTGGGCCAACCCTGTCTTCCAAGCTGAGGTTGCCACCCTTAATGAGAACGGTATTGACGTCAAAGTCTTCCTTGACGAAATTGTGGCAATTTTCGGTCAAAACTAAACTACGGAATAGTGAATCTATTTTGTGAGTAAATCCTCCACAATGTTGTACTTAAAAGCTAAGAAAGTCTATGATCGCTATGAGTATCAATGTTGAATAAATTATGTTATAATTGTCATCAAGAGAAGTTTTTTAATTGATCGTTAAGTTCCCAAGTCGAGCGGTTACTTTGTTGCTTTGTTACGTAGTTGCAGACTACCAGCTTATGTTCTTAAAAGCTGAAGAAATTTTAATGAATATTAACTGTGTACACATTATTGAATATTATTTTCAAAGTTTTTGCTATACTCTAAACAAATTGAATTTCACTATCACGAGTTCACGACAATCACGGCTAGCTAAACTACATTTCTAAAGTTTTCAAATGATTCATAGACAGAAAGTCACTATAATGCCACTCAATTACTCAAATACCTAAAATTTATAATATATATTTGCACGACTATTGCTATATACAACAGTTACAACTATTCATTCCTCAGTAGTTCATTGAAGAAATGCATCATACGACTCTTGACAATGAATTTATAAAAACTATCAACTACAAACAAAGTTAGCAGGCAGACAATGATAAATAGCAATGTTTTCATTATAACAATCAGTTGTTTAAAAAACTGCATCTATTCTATTCTTCATTCATTTGTTTTTTTGTTGACATGTCAACATTCTGTTAGACGACTAACTACGGCACTCGAGGACGGTCGCATCCTAATGCCACGAAAAAGTTAAATTTAATTTTAGTGAAGATTTTTATATTTACCTAGTTCTATTTTATCACAGGAGAAGAAGATGAGAAATGCATTTGTTGTTTTAGTTTCCTTGTGTATTGGAGTTGTTTCCGGATTTATTGTGCCCTCGAGTCTTCCAGAGGTGAGTAATAAAACGGGAACGTTGTTATTTTGTGAAATATTATTTAACGCAAATAATTTGTTTCATTGTTTGTAAGTGCAGGTACATTAGGTTATTATGTATGTTTCAAAATGGTTGTTAGTATTTATTTAAAAGCTTAACTAATAAATTTTTTGTATGACACATAATTATAACTTTGAGAAGAAACTCCGAAACAAATTCGATGACCGGTTAGTGTTTTGATCACTGTTTTCAAACTTTTAGACGCATGCAACTAATAAATCTTTGTAATCTGAAATATATAAATTGAATATTAAACCAATTGTCTAAACCGTAATATTTTATTTTTACAGCTTGAAAGTAAATGGAACGACTCCACAACGGAATCAATAAGCAACGTTCCGGGCGATGTAAATGCTACTACGTTCCCATTGAAATACGCTGTACTGCCCAAAAGTAGGAATGACATCGATGAAAAGGATCTCTACGAGCATGCTACAGAGAAACAGAACAACCAGAATGAGAGAGCATTTATATACATCAATCAGAAGTTTAAGAAACCAGTTCGTAACAGAGTTATTAAAATAGCGCCAGTAGACAAAATAGTATATGCTACAGCATCACCGCCAACGTTGCCAAACATGGTAACTCCTTGTCCACTCGGTAACCGGGTTACTTCCAATTCATACTTCCAAGGATTCGAAATGTCTGACAAACTTCCACAAGATATGGCGTCGTATTTTGCAGATCCGACCGTATTTAGATGCAAAGATAACAACAAAAACCTTAATTATAATAACAGAATTACACCAGATACTACTCCATTACAATTTCCACCTCAACCACTAAATAGATTGGATGAACGCAGGGAATACTTCGAACTTTTGAAACCACCCATAGTACGACCAGTGAACCGAATAAATACTAAGACGAACTATGAGAGTATTCGTCAGAATGAATTCCCCTCACTGTCACCCTCAAGTATTACACCCTATAAAGATAATTATTTCAAAAAGTATAACTTGAAAAGTCCATATTACGTGGCAAAGCCGAAAATGACGCCCATGCGACAAGAGGATTTACGTACTAAAAATTATGGGTTCGATGGCTCGTACATCAGACCTCCTTTCCAAGCTAAAGATCTAATTCATAGAGCGGAAGATGCTAATTTCGAAGGGGACTTTATCAATGAGGACGATTCTCATAGATTATATGACAATAACCAAGAGGAGGATAAATTATTAGACAAATACCTAAAAGATACTTTAGAAGATCAAAATTACGATAAAGGGAATAGTAATATGCCCGATTGTAGTTACCGAGACTGTATTCTACAAAATTCAAGACCATATACAAACGCCGGCCGCCTAGTTAAACCTGATTGTAAATGTGGAAAACGATTGAATATAAAGCAAATTGATCCATTCTTAGTAAAAGACAGAGCTTTAAGAGAAGAAGGAAAACACAATGATACTGATTTTAAAGGATCCTCTGAAATTAACTACTACGAGGAAATGTTATCTGAAGACTTAAATGTAATCAAACAAGATGACGATGTTGTCAGGCCGCCGAACAAGTTCAACGAAACTTCTGTGCACTAACTGATAGTCCACAGAGGTATTTTGCTAACTGAAGAGTTAGATGTAGCCTCTATGCAATTTACTATGGCGCTCCGCAAAGCAGGCTGTCAAGGCAGTTGTCCAACGCGCTGCATATACAATATAAAATTCTAAAAGTACAGTCGAAGAATACGCAGGTCTTGAAGCAACTATTCCACAGGAAAGTGCTCGCAGTGTAGATCACGATAACGACTGCTCAAAGCTATCGCGATTGAGATCTCTGCGCGCGCATCCCTCTTCTTACCGGCGTTTGTTGCTCCGAGAAATGAAATGTAAACACTGTAGAACGCCAACAGATGTCCAGATAGCCAATAGAGGCTTCAGAGAAATACAGACTAGCCAGAAGGGACACCCGTCCCAATTGACAAACTTTTTCACATCTCAAGTGTCCGGTTGTGTAATACATTATACTATAAGTACTTGCATTATTTGGAAGTGCATTGTGTATTCTCTAATCGACAATAACATTTAGAATTATATCATGCTTTGACTGAAATAATAATTCCTATGGAAATTGATTAGAATCTTCGTAATGTTATGATTCATGTATTGTATTGTTTATTCAAGTACTAGGAGATAACAATGACTTACAGAAAGCAATATTTTAATTGTGCATTCTGTGACTTCAATGTTCTATCTAGTTTCTTTATTTCTTTCAGTTTCTTTTTAGTATTTGTCCAGGGAGATGAATTTGCTCGGACCATGGACATTGTTCGAAAATATTTGAGTCTTCGAATGGACGATTTGGCAAAACTTTAAAGTAGTTCTGTGTGCTAAGTTTTATAGATATTTGTAAACGGTGAAATGGTGGAGATCAAATTTTGAAAACAACTTGTTTAGTACGTCAACAAGTGGAAAATTATGAGGGTGCTAATGATCGACGACATTGGATTACGTATCTGAATTTTTAATTTTAGAATTCGTTTTATCGTGTCGGTACTTCTGAATTTATAAATATTAAATAACTTATTGTTTGTTCTTTGCTTCGAAAGATTTTTATGTTGCAGTTTTTATCGCAGTGTTCTGTTTTGTAATCCTTGAGTGGGTTGTCATTATTATTAGTTAGGTTTTTTAGCTAGGCTTAAATAAGGAAATGAGTTTAATACTAACTATAGTTTGTATTCTAAAATAAGTATTTTGAAGTATATATAAATACATCATTATCTACTTTTAAGATTGTGAAAAGTATTTTATTTCATTTTAAATTTTAAGGTTGTGGGATTGGATCGATTTTCAACTTTGTAATTTTGTAATACAGTTGAAAGCTATTAACATATTAGAGTAGCTTGATGCCCTGTCGTCTTTACTCGTTCATGCGTATTATAGCGTTGACCGCCATAGGAGCTAATAATAAGGAGCCGCACTCTCATGGATATATTATACAATGGAGGTTTTCTTTAAAACCTCTTCTGTAATTAGCAAGTCTTCAACAGGTTTTGAGTTTCCAAGTTGTTCAAATGGAACTTTATCCATGATTTCTGCACGTGCATAATTTATGTGTTCGTTTCGCCTCGCTTCAACTCTGCCGGGTACGTCTTGGCCCTGGCTATCTATTTAATTATGTAGATCAGCATCATCGCTGCTATTTTCTTGTTTTATGACGGGCAAAATGTCTCCCTGGAGCCTGGCAGCATTATTAGATCTTCATTTATTTATTTTCGATTTAATTAAGTACATATTTTTATTGAGTTTGTAAGGAACTCAACAAATTTGAAAATGGAATACTGATAACGTCGACGTTTGAGCAAAATTTTTCATATATTATTATTTTTAAAAATGTTGATTTAGATATTTAGAATTTGAGCATCAGTACAGACTGAAATCAAAATAATTTAATCGCTTTGTCAAAACTGTAAGCAGACCGATGGTACAGGCCTAGTATAACATGCAGCTAAGATGGAAGTAGCGGCGTGTCCTATCTCCGTGACATCGCCTGTCATCTGCTCCACCCCATTTTACGAGGGGCGAGCTTGCTATTATAAAATTAGTTATCATGACCTTTTACAAGAATAGGTAGATATTATGGGATAGGAACACAAGAATAGAGTTTTAAATAGGTAGATATTGTAATACCCGCTATGTATAGAAATTATTTAAGATTTTAAGCTTCTGTCGGCGGCTTCGTGTATAGAAAGTAGCCTTTTTTTTAAGGGGGGAAAATTATCGAATGACTGCTCCCGCCTAGGTGAGGCGGGAGGGAGTGTCAGACTCTTACTGACTAAAAACCACCCCGTTCCTTTTCCTGCACGTCGAGCCAGAGCTCCGGTTACCCGTTAGGTTCACCGCGACATAGAAAGTAGCCTATGTCTCACAGCACAGACAATAATCTTTTCAAAATTTTCAAAATTTGACTGCACGGTTGGCGCGGTGGCTGGGCAACTGGCTGCCGCGCTACGTGTCGCGGGTTCGATTCCCGCACGGAACAATTGTTTATGCGATCCACAGATTGTTTTTCCGGGTCTGGGTGTCATGTGTATGTGTATGTTTGTAAACGCACCCACGATACAGGAGAAAATCCTAGTGTAGGGAAATGTTTAAAAAAAATACACACAATCTTTCGCATTTATAATATTTATTAAGAAATATTTTCTGTTACTTTCAAGGTCATGTCTATAATCCGTGAAGCGCTAGGCAAAATTGTATTAGGAGAACATTTAGGTGGTAAAAGAATAAAACTAAGATATTAGTCTTATTAAATAGGACCTACTTACAGGGAAAATGTTGTTCTGAAAAGCAGTTTGGATTCTGAGCTGTTTCTATGTAGGTATCCTGAATTGAAGTACTTCGTAGTTGGATTTTTTGTTGTCGTATAATACTAGCGACCCGCCGCGGTTTCGCACGTGTGCAATATGCATGTATTATACATATAAACCTTCCGTAAGAATCCCTCTATCTAGATATTAAAAAACCGCATCAAAATCCTTTGCGAGTTTTAAAGATCTAAGCATATATAGGACAAAGATAGACAGCGGATAGCGACTTTGTTTTATACTATGTAGGGATTTCTACTAAGATTTCTCATCAAATTTCACTCCATAAAGGCATGATGAAAGTAAATAAAGTAACCAGAGAAAATCCGGCAATAGCTCAGTGTTTCAATATACGGCCGTCATGCGCGGTTGATTGATGCGCCCCGCTCCGCAGTCGCTATTGAAATGAACCGATAAGATATTCAACACTAATTTAGTCCTCTATTTTCCGACTACCCTCCCAAATTTGCTTATAAATAGATTTTTTTACGTTAATGGCTGTTCGATTAGGGCGTAATAACCTGGCTAATTGTTACGTTAAAAGAGTTATGTAAAAGCTTTTATCTAAGTAGATATTATTGGGTTGGTTGTGTAGTTGGAAATTGTTATAGGCAGTTTGTTATAGGCTTGCTAAATTTTTCAATGTTTATGACGTAACTATATCAATCCTATCAGGGATTAAAAACTACAATACTCTTATAACAATAAAGGGGAAATCGTTTTTAAATGCACAACCGCTAATCCCGTTCGGTTAACATACCTCCTTGGAACCTCAAACAAAAGGATCACATATATTATAGTGTAACAAATCATTGTACTTTTGAATTAGTCGTTTAATGTAATCTACATACATACATGTGTAGGTACTAGGATTCCATGAAAATTAAGGCACAGATAAGTTATTTGCAATTCAGCACAACTTGTAGAAGTGAAGTGGAGACGACAAGTACTGGCAGGCGGAGAAGTGTTGTCATTTTTTTTTACATACTGTTATAAAAGGATTTGTGAATGATATGTTATTAGGATGAATTGCAGTTTAAGACTAAGAGTGTTCGTTTGAGTGATAATAGAAGATAGCATTGGAAGTGTATTTTGTTAATAGCCTAAGTTTCAAGTGTGGGCAGAGTGATACTACAGCTTTAAAGAAAACCGACGTGAAATAACGCTTGCGTTGTGTTTCATCGTATGAGTGAGATTACCGGAGGCCAGATTACCCCACCCCCCTTTCCCCAATCTCCTTAATCCAACAATACTCAAATTCCTAATCCCTAAAAGGCTGGCAACACGGTGTTCCAGGTGTCCATTGCTTACCATCAGGTGATCCGTCTGCTCGTTTACTGGCTTATTCCATAAAAAAGTAGATACATTTTGTTGTTAGTAAAATTAGATAATTTTGATTGGTTTATACCATGTCTATAGGTATAGTCAAAAGTCATACATTTTAACCTGATTGAATATAATATCCTTATTGCTTTAACAACAATTTAAATTAGACTCTTGCTATACTGAAGTTCACTTCTATATTCGAGAACACCGATACTACGCAGTAAAAGCATTTTATTTTTGTGCAACACATGCTTGCCGGGTCGTTACTAAAAGTTTCGATGTGCAGTGAATCCGAGACGCGAGCGAAGACGCGATCTCACAATTAAGCACTTGTGAGTTCACAAGTACACTTCTAAGACAACCACCATTGTATAGCGATCGTACAATCGCACACAGCTGTCAGAATGTCTGACATGTATACACTCGTATAGAAATTCCCTTTGTGCCCCAGTAGGTAAGCGTTTTAGTGGCAAAGTATGAATGAATAGGGTCTGACAGGATGTTTAGTGTGCACTCCTGTAATTTAGGGCTTCTACGTCCTTAGTAACGGTCAGATTAAGTTTAACTTTGCTTTGGACGTGGTCTTGGAAGCGATTGCAAGTGAAAATAAGTTTCGCGAGCTAGTAATTAATTTAACTCGTTGAGTACCGTCATTATAGACACAATTAAACAACAATAGGTTGCGGTCACCGGTGACTGCGCGGTGTTTGACAGTTTAATTGTATTTCATATGGATTACTTGGATGTTGGATGCGAGCTTACTGTATGTTGGGTGTGATTTTTCGGGCTGTTGCCAATGGAATAGGTAGTTTTTTAGTGATGAATTATTCTGTTTTATGACCTTCATGTTCATTTAATTTCCGTATCAACGGATACATTGCAAATGTAAAGTCCTATGAATACTTTGAAAAATGTCGATGCTAATTTTTGTAAGTAGGTACTTTTTCCTTCTTCCCTCCAACCAAATTTCACACATTGATGGAAATGGGTCTCCTTTGAGAATTAAGTCATATTCAGCTGTCATCGACAAAGAATTTCCGGGGTTGCCATTAAATATAAATATAAAAATATATTATTATGAAATTAGAATTGTTGCCATTTTAAGCACAAGATTCAAATTGAAAGGAAAGAAAAGTATTTACAAATGGTTTGCGTTTTAAGCTTTTTATGTATTTGGAAGTACCAACCAACAATAATAGTACGTTTATTTGGAACCAAACAGTGGTTCCAAATTATAAAAAACGGACGTTTAAGTAGGGTCCAGACTGGAGCTAAACTACTGAACTTTTTATATTAATATCCCGCTCACATCGGAATGCAAGCGCGTCACTGCGAAAAAAGAAAATCCCGCAGTCGTAGTCGACGGGCGGTGCGGTAGGATGCGACGCGACGCGACGCGACGCGGCACAGCACGATGGGATGTTTCACACAGTAATGAAATATTTTATTGCACGGCGTAACAAAGGCTCCCTGGAATTTCAACTGAGACCTTACACAACAATGTACTCAGATTTTTAGTAATTCGCAAGTGCAAACGGGTTTTATATGTTTCTGTTTTAGTGACTACGCGTTCCTATATATGTCATTTCAAACGGATGTTAACTAAGCATGCAAATAAATTTTCCCTGAAATTTCATTTGCAAGACTAGGGCTCAAAGTTGAATGTTTTGTTGCAACTTGAGAAAACTAGAGCAAAGCATAAGAAACGAGCGTAATATAGTTAGGTTTGTCAAACTTAAGTGACGAGGCGTAAAGGAGTACATTTGTAGGTAGTCCTAATTCCATGAGTGAATGACTTCTAATAAATACAAGGTTTGTAACAGAAACATGTAGTATATGACCTAATCAACGATTGACAAGCACTCAATGATTTAATTCAAGTGTTTGGCAGGATCGGAGAGCTATTTGCAAATGGGTTGCGGTTTGTGGTCTAGCGAACGCACATGCGGGTTTCCCAAAATCGAAATAATCTAATTTGAATTGATTATTTTATGCTGTTCTATCGTTTATGATTGACGGTCCAAAATCCATTTCTGTGGTGGATTATATCGGAATTGTAAAGTGC